GATTTGAGGCATTTCCCCTTCTTCAACAAAGTGTTGTCTATCAAACTCGTAAGCATATGAATTTCTTTGACTACTGTTCAATATGCCTGTTCATAACTCAGCCTCTTATTCCATTATAATGCTTGAATGATTCACATGCAATATTTCCAATCCACTTTTCCTATCTTGTGAAACTTTTTAACGAAATGTTAGCATTTGCAGGCACCAGATGTTTTGACATAAGGAGAAGCAATATGTAAATTTTAATCCATGCTAGGAACAATAGCCTGGAGGCACCTTTTTCTTATTACATGAATCATATACTTAACCACAATGTGGTGGATTATATCAAAATCATCACCGCCCTGAATATAAAACACTTGTCTTGTGGTTGCCAATTAATGAAACTGATATATATTTAACTTGATGGGTACCAGTGATTTAACCAATAAGCCTTAGCATACTTCACTACTGCCGTCTCCTTTATAATTAGACCTTTGATCTGATTATTATCACAACTTCATGTATTTTTCTCTAATCTCCCATTGGTTGTCAGCACAAATGATGCTGACATTAAATCTGTTTGTCTGTCAATTGCAAACATCACTACTTTTAATCAAGCAGTATATCAAAAAGGCTTTTCTAATCTCTGAAATAACTTCTGATTTTATTTCCTGATGCTGTTTATTTAATCATTAAGTGTCTGAGTCTGCAACAGGCTGAGCATTTCCTTTCTACAAAGGAAACGGAGGGCTCTCAGTCCATCACAAAGGAACTGAGTACCTTTTATGGTCAAATCCTAAGTTCATAAAAAATATGCAAAAGAGCAAAGCTTCTTTATATAACTAATCACTGAACTTTAAATAATATTTAAAATAATATTCAATTTTAGTACTGATGTGGGTGTCTTAATGATTTGTCAAAATAAAGAGCCTGGAAAAATCTTTATTACAAATAGAATGTTTATCTGATGTATACAAATAATGAGTACTATTTTATAAGAAACAATGAACTATTACAAAACGATAGATTAAATGCATAATATTACTCAACAAACTGTACAACTTTTCATGCACAGAAAGCACCAAATATCTTCCAAAGAAAGCAGCACTCTTGATATTAGGAATTCAAAATGAAATCAGAATCCTTACTTCATTAAGTAAAAGTATTTTTTAGTACCAAATGCTACCTAATTATCAGCTTTAAAAATGCTTTATATCTTAAAATACAATATTCTGTTTATTCTAGATTGTCTGGGGAACATCTAGTACATTAAAAGGTTTTTGTAGAGCTTCTTAGTGATTTAACTGATATCATCATGCCTGCTAGCAATTTTGCAACATTCTGAAAACACTTTCCATAAATCAAAGCTTTAGCAGCAGGAATAAGCAGATGGCAGGAGACCATATTAAAGAATGTATCAATTATTTTTATTAATGGGATGCTACTGGATCATGATCTATCATAATGGTCTAAATGTTTAACAGTTGTGAAGTGTTTTGTCTGTTAGATATCTTAGATGTTCTTAGTGGATAATGTCTATAATGTCTTGTGACAGCATTTTTGAGGGTCTGGACAGTGAAGTTTCATAAACAGCATATAAAGAGATGTTTTAATTTCAGTCCTTTAATTATATTCATATAATAAACATAAAATACCAGCATATATAAAACATAACTGTAAAAAGATTGCATGTACAGTGTGTAATAAAGTACATTCTGTCTGCATAAAATGACTTGGAAAACAAGATACTATATGGTTAACAATGAAAAATGGCAATTATTATAAAAATATTCTACAGTCTCATAATACTAATGTAAATGCTTTTACTTATATGAGAGACAACATAATTTTAAATTACAATAATTTTACATCCTCCATTCATATATACAATCCTATTAAATTCAAAAGGTATTATAATAGCAATGGTCATATTAAGATTAAGTGAAGGAACTATAGTTATTTTACTATATAGAGCAACTGTTCCTGTTTGTTAAAACTATTTGCACTTACTGTAGCTTTTCACAGAATCCACGCTATGCACAATGAAATAGTTTAGTTTTCTGTTCTTAGTATAGCTCTATATGCATCTCACGAATTAAACAAGATGTTAATATTGTGAGTCCCTTTCCTTTTTTGTAATTATCAGTCTGTTGTTTTGTGTATTTTGTAGGAACATGTCCACCAACTTTGAATAGCTGCTACTGAAAACAAAAGCAAGAACTTCTCATTTAATACATCTTGACAAAAATATCCAGTTTTCCTACCCCCTGCCCAGCTGGAGGTCAAGCTCTGTAAGACTTTAAATTCTTTTCTAGTCCCAGAGCCACAGACATTATGCATGTCTTTCACAAGATTTCACTGAATAGATCTCTGTAGGAAATAGCCAAAGAGTGTATTTCACTTGCACCGTGTTTCAGCCCAATAATACTTGCATGGACAGCAAAGAAATTCTGCCTGATCAAGAATGTCAAGATTTGTCCCGATAGTCATGAAATCCCTTTCCTCTGTGGAAGCTATTAGGAATGTACTCAGCTCTGCCATAGCAGTCCTCTCAACTTCACAGTAGCATCACCGAACCTGCGATGGGAGAGGGAGGGCTTACTCTAAAAAGTCTGGGATGTGGCTGCCAGCACACACATCTCCTAAATACCTTCAGTGGCACCTATTAATCCCCAGAATGTCCTAGATTAGTTTTGCACCCTGTACCACCACTTAATTTCAAAGGTGAAGCTGTAAGCCAGCCCATAGCCATTAGCTAACACACTAATTATGATGACTTTCTACTAGAAAAAAATGCAGCGTTGGTGAAACACCATTGCCATAATAAACACCTGCAGATATTGATGCATTTTGTGTTTAAAGCAAGGGGGCTGGGGATTTTGTGTGAAGAAAGACAGCTTGAATATGTCTGAGGATAGATGAAATACAGTATATTGCAAAAAGAACATTCACTATCTTTTGTCAAGTTTCTCATGCAAGAAGAGAGAGAAAAATTCTGGTGCTTTAAACTGAAGCAATTGTCAGAAGAATGAAAATCAACTTTAAAAAATTTAATGGGTGCACTATAATGTTTTTTTTAGAACAGTGCTTATAAAAGTGATGAAATTCAGGAGTTATTTAAAGTCAATATAGTTCAGAAGTATGGTCTAACTCACATGTAAAAGTTCAATGGGAAAATCATGTAATACATTCATATTTAATTTCTTTTTCTCCATTATGAGCAATCCACACTGGTGTATTTAAAACTAATGTAGTAGAAACTGCAGTACAAGGACAAATGGCATTTGATATCAACCAAATATCCCTTCCTGAATACGGACAATACTCAGATTAAATGGAAATACTCATACTATACTAGACATAATATGCTCCTAAATGTTACTTTTAATTCATCATGTTTTGTATTCAGATGTCAATATTAGCTAGTCTTTGGGAAAACTATGACAAAAAGCTTCCTCTTTTAATTAATCCAATTTATAGAAGCACTCCAATTAAGATGGTGTTCAGTCCTACATCCAATTATCTTTGGGTAATACTCATCTGTCTTTTGCAGTCCTTTCCTACATACTACAAAACCAAAAAACAAACAAACAAACACAAAACCCCCAAACAAAAAACCAAAAAACTTGCAAGAATCCTGTTTTTTGTTGTTATTATTTTTAACCATGAAGTGGGAGCATATCATAACCTCTTCTAATGGTCAGATCTGTGCTTACAGACCAGCTTATATCCACGTAGTTTGCACAGGCTCATAGAAGACCTTGAGTTTCCTAAAATTATAAATATTCTTCTGAAATAGGACACTCCATCATCTTTCATAGCCATCTGGATGTCATTTATTATCCAGCTTCTAAATTTACAATTATGAAACTATCATGACACTAACTGTGTTGGTCAGGAACGTGCTATGACATGGGAGGAACACGAACCTCACAAGGACTGTGAGGAGGACCCAGATACCCATAATAGAAAAGTAAGAAACAATTGCTCTGGTTTTTGTTAATAAGTTTAAAGACATAAAATGTTAACACAAACAGCCATCCACTTTAATTTTTTCTTAATGTTTCCAAACCTGTGGCATTTCTGGGCTGTGAGGCGGGCTCAGTTGTGGTAAAATTAATACACACTTTTGAAACATATTTTGAATCATTAGAGAATTCCCTGATGTGATCTTTTGGCTTTGGTTGAGGAAGAGCTTTGAAGACCTGTGCCAGTTTATTTTCCCATTTATTAATATTATAATTAGAATGATTACACTTAATGTCCTCCAGGAACATACATCACTCTCCAGAATTTCACTGTGTATAGAAGTGATATGACTTCTACCTGCCCTCTAACTGACAAGTCTTTACTGAGTCATCAGAACTGGTTTTCTGAATGCCCCCTCCTAGCAAGCCAGTTATGAGAGGCAGTGCATCACGTCAGTGTTTCTGAATATCCCCTTTAGTTTGAAAAGTCTTCCTTTTCAGCTTTTCTGTGGTGAATCTAAAGCCAAATTTGAAATTACATTATCTTTGTTTCAAGTGTATGGAATGGGAATCTTGTCATTTACCTCTGAGTCCAAATGGATCAAAGGCATATGGATAGAGTCCCTTTGGAAAAACCTCACTGTGCTGCCAAAGGAATTGAAAGCATCATCCAAAAGCACAGGATTATATCTCTGAATTCCAATCTCTTCTACATAAAAAAGGACACAGTTTGAATATTCTTGAAATAAGCAGCTGACATAGCACTATTACCAGTAGTTTTAAATTGTGCTAATTGTAACATGGAGTGTCTGTGCTGTCTTGTACATCCATACAGCCTTTCTGCTGCAATGCCATATCTTTTTCTGTCTCAGTTCATTTGAGTCTCCGTCATTATGTTAGCTTTCATTTTTCTTCTGTGTCATTAAAATATATATTAAAAGAGTGTTCTTTTTCTACAAATGAAATAAAAAAACAATTAATGGCATTCCATGGAAAGCTTAATGGATTTTCTCCTTTTAAAGAGAAGCCTACACAGTTTAAACTGCATGCTTACTTTACTTGTGTGAAAGCATTACCACCTTTATTTTTAAATTTTAAAATCTATAACATCTCTGCAGTTCCCAGCTTAAATAGTTCTCTGTTGCGTCACATTTCGTAGAATTTTTAGTGGTATAAAAGAAAGAAATTAGCAAATTACTAAAACTCATGTTTTTAGCAGAAAAAGTGTAAGTAGATTGAAAAGAGTTTGAATACAGTTTTGTAACATGGGTATTCCTTTTGTGGTAACCACTTTTGTAGTACTGTAAGTCATGAAATGATAGTAGAAATATTCCCAGTGAAGAAACATTTATGCAAATGTCAGCTGTGAACAGAAGGTAAATTTGGGCCAAAGTGATATGAGTTCATGTCCATCTCATTTTCCTGTGAAGTAAGGGCTGATTTAAACCTTTGTCATGTAGTAACATCTTCACAGTGTCTCTCCTTATAAGTATTTAAAGTAAGAACAAACAACATGCTTACATTCAACGCGGTCTTTTAGCAAGTGGTTTACAGAAGTATGAGACCACTTTTGTTTTTATAAATCATCTCCATCATCTGTGCTAAAGCTGCTTCTCCTGCTGCTCTCTTTTGATGCAGCTGGGGACGTGGAGGACAAGAGTGGATCTGTTCCAAATGGCGACACTGTGTCATCCAATAAAATTTCCTCTAGACGTTGTTCTTCTTTTAAAGCTGCACTGAAGGACAAATCCGTGAAGTGTGAAAGTGGATCAGAAAAGGCTGTAGATCCATCACAAACATCAGAATTTTGTCCATGTACCAGAGGCATTTGTTGAGAGTAGTCTACAGAGTTCTCCTCTGGATAAGACTGTTGCTTGATGACCTGTGCAGCTAAATCGACAGCAGTGAGTGAAGACATGACTGGGAGGCCATGTGCACGTGCCTGGATCTCCAGTTCCTGACATTTCAAATGAAAATGATTAGACAACAACTTTAAAAGACAGAGTTTCTTCAGAACTATTGCAGTAAGTACAGGAATCATGCATGCAAATTAATTATACTTTTTATCCAGTTGTGAGACTACATTTTAAAATATTAAATTAGTCTATGAAAATTTGCCACTCAAGTGTTTTCATCTCCCCCTCTGTCTTTAAGCAACTATCCTACAGGAACATAAGAGATAGGACAGCTTCTACACCCACTGCATACTGAATCCAATGAAAATGGTAGAAAAATGTTGCAACTTGAAAATTTGTTATCCACTGCTATCCAGAGAAACAGAAGAGTCTTTACTTGGTGATGCTTATGATATACAGTTATATAAGTAAATAAACATATGTAAGATGATCGATTTTATGTCTGTCTATCTATCTACCTATCCATTCATCCCATTTTCATACGTGTGTGTCTATATTAGAATCTTGCCTTTCAAGCTATGAAGGGCTGTATTCCATCTCTTCATGTAAAAAGTAGATATAATATAGCACACTATAACCAAGGAAGTGTAATGTGTGAAATGGCTACAAAGGGAAAATGAAAATACTGAAGGGAATTTTGTGTCCAGTATTGATTTTTGGCTACAGAGACATATTTTTTTCCTTATCTTTTTTGTCTTTCTCTCGCTCTAACACATACATAATGAAACTGTTTGTACAAATACTTTATTAACTTTCCGTGAATTCCTTTATGTAAGGTATAATTATCAAAGAAATTTCCTAGAAACCTAAAAAATACCCCCTCTCCAATATACACAAAAATAAATAGGAAAGCCAATTCATTTTTAATAAATGTCATTTGGGGAAAAATTACATAGATTAATAAAATTTGATGAGGGATAAGTACTAAGAAAGCTTTGTAGTTCATGGCAACAGTTATACAAACCTGAATTCGGAGTAGGAGTCTTCTGTTAGCATGCTCTAATTTCTTTTGCCTATGTTCTAATTCTCTGGCTCTCTGTTGTTCTTTCTGTAGCCACTTGATGTACTCCACTGATGCTTTTAAAATAGTCCCTTTGTTCCAGCGCATATCACTGTAGAATGTAGAGATAACCTTTTCACAATTGTACATGTCAGCAGAATTCATAAGAACTTACAAAATCTTTTACATTAATATGAAATAATGATTTACATGACTATTATTCACTCTTAGATATTATTGCTTCTGAATGGAAATTTTAATAGAATAGTTAAGAAGCCCTTATATAGTAAAATTAATCCCAGAATGAAAATAAGTGTCAAAAGAAAGTAATAAAGTGACTTTTTGTGGGAGAGCTAAATGCAATATCATGATTCTACCATTACAGTTTTTATATTTTTAGTGAAAATTGCTTTTATTATTAACTCTAAGATTAAAATCTATGTGCAGTATTTCTGCATTAATGAACTAGGAAATATACATTACTGAGGACTTAAACCTAAATTTTTAAAGATCATTTTGAATATACTACTCCTTTTACCTGACTTACTAATGAGGTTGCTTTTATGCTTGTAGAGAAAAATATTATCTGTGCTGAATGCCACTCCTCATTGATGACAGACCAGAAAAATCACACTTCTTTAACCATAATGACTAGGGAATGACACAAATCATGTTCAAAAATCTTGAAACAACATAAAATACGCAGCTACATGCAGACCCTAACTCAAAATAAAAGCCTTGCAAAAAAATTAGATTAAATCTGCCCATCATTCAGGAAATAGTGGTTTAACTTCCAGCTTACAAGCAGCCTTACAGCAATAAAACACTTGTTTAAATGCATCTGTTCAAGGATTTTCATGTATGCATTTATCAACTTTTCATGTATTCCTTTAACTCAGGTCTTGGAGGCCTTGGAACAGGAATGAAATTTGTGGAAAATGTTTACTTTCTAATACATTTCAATATTTTAAGATACAGAATTCATCTGCTGCATTAAATACACAGATATACGGGTTTATCCAAACTATCTAATTCACTGCAAGACTGCTTAGGCTGAGCACAAGGTTGGCCAAGGTTCTGGCCCTATAACACAACCCTGAGAAGGAAAAGTTATTTTTGCAACTAAGAATCTGACACTGGGAGGGGCAAGTATTTTTTTAATATCTACAATACCATATATTTACTTGCTGGCATTTATAGAGTCAAAAAGAAATATAAATTATATTCCAGTCTATCATCACTTTCCCTTATTCATAAAATCATAGAATCATAGAATATGATGAGTTGGAAGGGATCCATCAGGACCATCGAGTCCAACTCCTGGCCTTGCACAGAATCACACCATGTGCCTGAGAGCATTGTCCAAATGCTTCTTGAACTCAGACAGGCTTGGTGCTGTGACCACATCCCTGGGTGTTCAACCAACCTCTGGGTGAAAAACTTTTTCCTGACACCCAACCTAAACGTCTCCTGACTCAGCTTCATGTTGTTTCTTTGGATCCTGTCACTGGCCAACAGAGTGAAGAGATTGGTACCTGCCCCTCCACTTCCCCTCACAAGGAAGTTGTAGACTACAGTGAGGTCTCCATTCAGTCTCCTCCAGGCTGAACAAACCAATTGACTTCAGCTGCCCCTCATAAGGTTTCCCGTCTAGTCCCTTCCCCATTCTCATGGCCCTCCTTCAGAGATTCTCTAATAGCTTATTGTTTTGGGTTTTTTTTCTATTGTCTTTGGTTGTTTCAGTTAATGAGATTTGCCCCTACTCTTGTGTTCACCTGTGGTGAATAAAATTATTGCAGATGTTTTGTGTTCAGCTTCTCAGAGTAAGTGCCTAAGGAACCTTTCACCCTTACCCCAAGGCTAAGCACCCTTATAGACTTCTGCCAATGCAGTTGTTTTTCTACTGAATATATAGGGCAAAAGCCAGGCAAGTACAGGATTTAGGGATCCAGGCTACTCAGCTTTTCCTGATGCACTTTACTAGGGATAAAACCTTACAGAGCTGGTAGCTTTAAGGCACTCACAAGAATACACAAAATTATTTGTGATAAAGTGTTACAGTGTTTAACCATATCATAAAATTCAGACAATTTGCTAGAGATTTGGGAGAAACATTTTTTGGTCCAAGAGTGCTCAAACTCATGTCTGTTCACTCTGGGAAGCACACAAAGTGTGGGGCTTCAGCATATAGGACCTCCCCTCACCTCAGTATGTGTGCCAAGAATGCACAGCTTTTTGGGATTAGAAGGTGAGGAGGTCAGAGAGAAAATAATTATTGTCTCAGATCCTGCTGTCTGCAAAGCCAAAACATCAGAAGCTGCTCACTGAAGTGGGTGTGTATTCTTATTTAGACATTCCATGGTCAAAAACGCTAGAACAGAGAGATGACTGGGAGCCAAGAACAGAACATGTCTCCCTCATGACAGCTGAGTCATATCTTGGCAGTTCCTCTGCCCCTTCCTTCTTCTCCCTGAATTTCTTGCCCAGGTGGGAGGACAGAACATTTCCCTGTCAGCATCCCATGGGCTCCCTCGTAGCAGAGGACTTTCTTCTCGCATGTGGTTTACATTCAAACTGTAAATGTTAAGGAAGTTTTTAGTATGCATAATAATGCATATTTTCTGGACAAATCTTTGACTGCCATCAGCAGCTCATGGCAACTTTGAAAAGCACTAGAGGAGTAAGAATGCCTCGAGTACATACTGTGGAGAAATGCAATCTGCAATGATTCATGTTACACATAATTTGCAAGCTTTGTGATATTGCTTACTTTTAGTTCATATTACCTTGATAATTTGAGATTTTTATTTCTATGGCAATGACATTTTTTGTCACAGGATGAAATAAATTTTTACTGGAAGACCAGTTCCTAGATTCAAACCGCCAGACAGATGGATCTGGTCAGCTTCTGCATGAGATACATATGGATAGATATCTCTTGTGGTAATATTTACAGATCTGAGAAGCAAAATTATCACAGGATGAAATTGCAGTAGTTATTATTATCATTTAAGAGACTGTTATTTAACCTGCCTGTGTGTGTGTGTGTGTGTCTGTGTGTATGCATGTATCCCATATATCTTCTACATCTCTTCTCATATATACACCTACTGGTTGATGTCTTATTAAATGAAAAGTATTGAAGTTAAATCTTCCAATGTCTGAAGGCAACATGGCAATGGATCAGCTGGTGACCTTAGTAGCCAACGTGAATTTCACTTTGTGTCTCTCTATACCAGGATCTAAAGAAAATATTGAAGTTGTCTGTGCTAATTCTGCATTGCAGGTATTCCTCATCCATTCTAGCCCAGAGCACCACACAGCAGTCATGGGACAGTGCTGTGGAGAAACAGAGGCTCTACGCAGATGTGCAGTGCTGGAAGAGTAGCAACATAACTGGTGGGGATGAAGGCAAACAGGGCAATAGTACAGGTGAGGTTCCTGTTTAGCAATAGCCTACAATGCATCCAGCAGGTAGGCAAGTAGATTCATCTATGATGGGAAATAAAAACAACCTAGCATTTGAAAAGGGATTATCTCAAAGCACAAAATGTGTAAGAAGAATTCAGGAATTCTGTGATTGGTTATTAGGTTTCTGTTATTTCTCTGAAAACAATGCTTTCTAAATTGGGTGCAAATAAAGAAAGCTATCCAAAAAATTATAAAAGGGGCACTAGGAAATTATGGGATTTGCTTTTAGAGATTTATATATTGTGCTTATATATAATAGAGATAAAAATTGAAATGAAAAGGCTTACAAACCCATTTGAGAACCTTTAAAATCTAAACAATCATTGGCAGTTGTTACTCATTTAATTGGAAACCACTTTATAAAAACAGAAAAAATAAAAAAAATACTTACATTCTTAACTGGTTTGAATCTACAAAGTAAGATATAGATCTACTGAGTCTTGGAGATGGCAGGAATTTTTTTCCATTTTACTCTTTCACTGTCTATTACTTCCTTTCTTGTTTGGTTTTCTTTTTTTGGGCGGGGGGATTTTTTTTTAGGGGGTTGTGTGTGCGGTTTTATTTGTTGTTGGTTTGTTTTGCTTTGCTTTTGTTTTTCTTAGCCTTCATTTTTATTGAATGCATATAATACTTCGTTCTGTAGATATTGAAACACATGGGAAATTCTACATGTGAATAAAGTCATTTGAAAACAGTAAGAACTTTTGCAGGTCTGGTCATCAGCAATGGCCTCTGCAAAGGAAGATTTCATTTTTGTTTCTGTGTGTGCATGTGGTGCAATAATTTGAAATTTTTAGCAAGCTACATGTGTTCTTGAGTTTAACTAACAGAGGTCTACCACACTGCAGAAGATTTGCATGGAAAAGTAAAAAATAAGTAAAAACCCATGTTTTATTGTCTCTGAACCCTGGCTCCTCCTAACTTTAAGATCTGAATCTCTCTAGAAAACTCAAATGCTCAGAACAAAACATGTAACTCTCACCTAGGAGAGTTTCCCATTTTGGAGAAACAAAATATACACAAGAGATTGATCTTCAACTCATTTCCGTTAATTTAACTTTGTTAAGTCAAAGGAGCTTCACTAATTTAAAGAAGTTGAACTCCTGTAGGAAGAACCAGAGCATTTGGTCATCTAAGATTAGAACTAAATAACAAAAACAGCATTTGTGAGAGTGTGATAGTCACAGGGTTTGCCAGGCACAGGACAGTTACTAATAACAAAGACATTTGCAAAGTTGAAACCATGTTTGCAGACCATTTCTTTCCCTGTTTCTTGAGAAATTTACGGTAACGTGTGCTTCCTCGAAAAAATACTTTGAAGGACTTTGTACTTGTTTTGATGACTTGCACAATTGCAAAGTGTATTCTGAAAGAGGCAGTAAGTTTCCACTTTGTAATAGCAGGAGCATACATAAGCTTTTCCTGTACAAGAAATGTGGCTGTGCTGGCTGCTGGAGCAACCAGAGAGCAGAGAGAAGGTCAGGCTCAGGCAGATGCAGAGAGAAGAGAGGAGAGAGTGAGAGCAAACCACTGCTTATGCCCAAATCCTCAGTGGTTTTCCTAACATCCTAGGTCTGTAAAATGACTAGAATTCTTGAAGGAAGGGGTTTTTTTCTTCTTTGGTTTTCTGATAATTGAAGTCTGTCTACCATAAAACCATTCTTGTGTAGGCACTTTCAGACTCCATCACAGTGTGAAGTCCTGTTAACCACCTAAAAGGTGGATTCCGAAAGGCTGAACACAAATGGAAAAGTGAGTATATTAAAGGAGTATTTTATGAGCTTTCCAACAAAATATGACTATTTCTGGCATTTTTAAAAGTCTATTTTTGAATTCTTCTGTATAACTGATTTGCATTTCTGAATTATCTAGCACTTGGATATCTAAGCATTGAAGATTAAACAAAAGAGTCAAAGTTCTTTTTAACTCATACTTATGTCCATTTTCTAATGCTGATGAAGTGAACTTAAAATACCCATTCATTTAAGCAATGTAATCCACACTTTTATTGTTAAATTAAAAAAAAAAAAAAAAAGAAAAAGGAAAAGGATAGGGGTTTAAGCCAGTCAAAAGAAAGTCCCTGCAGAAGCTCTACAGGAGCCAAACAAGTTCACTATATAACTAACAAAACAAAAGTGAAATAAAAACCCCACAAAGCACTTCTAAGAAATATAAATCATAAAAGGTTTCCAAATGGCATAAAAAAATGTCCTTTTCTGTTCCTGACTCTGAATGTAATCTTCTTGAAGCAAGCCATCTGGGACAGGCATGCTAACCACAATGGCTTAGTTATAGCAATATTTGCTCTTCAATGCAAAGGCTGATTTTTCTCACTGTCATTAGTCTAAGCATCAGTTAGGCTTCTCCTTATACAGCTAAGTTTCCACTATAAGAAGAATTTTCTAAAATCAATATAAGAGTAAAAATGCTATATGTGATAAAATGCTACAGATGAAGTATTGTAAGACATGATAAATCTCTTTCTTTCAAAGAAGAGGGGGAGATTGGGGGCACAGTAAGGTGTTATGAAGGGAAAAGCAAGAACTGAAAGAGAGGGTAAGGACATTGAGTTATGATTTGGCAACACAGGACCAAACCTAAAGGAAATAGTAGTAACTTTAATCTGCTTAGCCGACAAAACAACATACTCGAATTATATATTTCCATCTAAAAATACAAATACAAAAAAAAGTGTTTTACACTTTGGATTAATTTATCCTGGCACAAAGCTATAGTAAAGTTATGTTGCAAGCTAGTGTTTCAAAAGCCCTGCACTTTTTGATGCCTTTCTTTTCTTAACACCAACTTGAAAACTTTTAAATAGGCTTACTTTCAAAAGGAGTACTGATTACCAGCCTTTTGAAGACAGTAGTCTTCAGAATGTGAGATACTTAAGTTTACCTTGTGTTTTTGTAAACATAAACCACTCTGGGTCTGTCACACTGTTGAACTCAGTCATGGGTTTGCAGATTAAAACAAGATAAGGCAATGACTGCAGAATCTATACCTGAGACTTTTTCATCAGGCAGCACCACCAGAATCTGTGGGTAAAGTCCACCATCCACTTGCTGGAGCAAAACTGCAGGCCCAGATAATTCATTTCAAGAACAACCTAAGTGATTGCTCTTGGTATTAATGTTTTGATTAAGTTCACAAACTAAACCTGAATCCAGAACAAAACATGTAACTGAAACACCTCTGTAGGCAACCAAAAATCGCAACTGGAATTTGTACCTCATGCTCATCTCTAATTGCAGTCTAACTGCCTTCTGTTATTGCTTTATAGCTGCAAACCAACAGTGCCATCCACTGTTTATCTGAGAAATCTTTCAATTATTTGCCCAAATAGTATTGATACCGAAAGATGCATCAGCAAAATTAAAATGCTTCTACCAGTCTGTGCTTGCAATACAGCCCAAACTTTTTTTAGGTACTTAAAGCCCTTTTTATTTTAACTCAGCTGTAATACCTAATTCTATATTAATAACAAAAACATGCCCATTTATCTAATCTCGGGTGAATGCTATAGAAGGAGCCAGGTTGGTGAATTCTCTAAAATGGATGCAGTATGTTAGCTTTCTCTCTGGCGATTTCACTCCAAGTGAAGCTAATCTTGCACTTTTGTAAGTCTCACATAGCTTTATATTGTTCCAGAAATCCTTAACAGAAACAAAAGTTTCTTAGTGCTAAGGAAAAAAAAGGCTGAAATAGATGTTTTCATTTGAAGTATCACGCATGTCTGTATTGACATTTAAATGATAAAGACAAAATCTGTATAATCAATTTTATGCAAGTCACAATCATGGTAGTGCATGGTCTTAAGTCTTCCCCGAGTGACGTGAGAAATCTAAGGCTAAAGTTCAACTTTAAATATCACACTGAACTGTTATTGCTAATCCTGCAGTGGGCTTTCCTACAAGACAACCTTTTTCATATTGATGACAAATATAAGCTTTAAGGGAATCCAGGTAGCGGTCAAGCAATATGCATTTTGAGTTACTGTAAGTGTATACATTAGTATAATATGATATTATTATAGCAATTGTATCAATTATTACTTTAATCCTTGCATTTTAGGACTGGTGTTTTTCCCTGCACTGAGTGCAGGACTTTTGAAAAATGCTCAGTCTACAGACTCTTGTACTGATTTTTTTTGCCTTAGTCAACGGGCAGACAGTGACAACGTGAATTTTGAGTTATCCCACTAGAGGGCCATAGCAAGGGCTGAAAGCATCACTCCTTCCTTCTCCAGAGACACCACACAATTGTGCCCAGGGACAGAGAGATGGACTTTCTGCTGTTTGGCTTATCTTTTTTTCTTTTCTATTTTTGGTTTTGTTTGGTTTTAATTTGTTTGCTTGTATTCCCTTGATGTGGCAGTCACTCTTAAACACCCTGGAATTTTTTTCATTTTATTATCATTTCAGATGAGTTTTTCCGACAGGCACCAAAAATCTGTCAAAGGCTTGTTACTTTAACAGCCTGATCTGGCATGGAAGATTTTGTATCCCATTACTCAATCCTATAGCCAGTATATACTACTGTCTCTTTTATTCTTGTATTTAAACTATAAACGTTATTTTAGGAAAGACTGTTGAACTCACGGATCATTGGACTTGGGGATGAGGGTGCCAAGCTCCTTGATTCGGTAGTTAATATTATACCTTCTTCTTCTCTCAACTGTTAAAAAGAAACAGTTACTACATTTATAGTGAAATATTCTTGGTGAAATTCAACATAGAACATTTTAATTAGTTCTAAACAAGTCAGTCAGTCGATGCACAGAAAATTTCTTCCTCAAATAGCAGTCCCAACATGAGCTCCTACCTGTCTCTGACTTATTCTCAGGACAAACCGCCTGATTAGTACCATCTGTATCTTACCTTACCTATCAGTTTTTTCCTCCATTAGCCGCTAGACTTCTAGAGAATTAAATAGTCGCATATTGTCTAAATGTGAGCTAACACTTCTTTTTCCTAATGTTTCTGTAGCCTTTCTCCACCATGCTTGTACAGAACAGAGATTTCAGTTTGGCAGTTTTGCTGGTGACTTCAACAGGGTCACAAGACAACTCATCTAGCAATTCATAGTTTGGCAGAACTCATGTTACAGATCGCAGGTAAGAGCTCCACTATTCCTTATTTACAGTTGCCAGCATTTCAGATCAGAAAGAGGACATAACTGCAACCATATCCCCTCACTGAAACAGAGAAATATTGTGTTTCAGAAACACTTCATCCCCAGCACATCTCTTTCCTTTGGGTATGGAAAGCAGAAGCATGTTTACAATAACTTTTAAAACACACAGAAAATGAATAAAAACACAGTTTAAATAATAAATATATATTTTATGGATTTAAATTTATGCTTCTTCTAAGACAAACTATGTAGGATATCTCAGGTTACTTTGTAGTTTAGTTAGAAAGAGAAAAACACAAGATAAGCCTCTTAAAATTGTGTCTGACTCTCTGTGCTCTCAGTTCACTTTACCAGCATTGTACTGGTATCCAGGCTGGAGTATGTGACCTTGAGAAACTAAACATTTTCTAATGTATAGGTACAAAGGACATCTCAACACTTTGGGGGATTAATTGTATATAATTGTGACATGGTAAGTATATTCAGTGAGAATATAGTCCCATTGGGGTACTGCTGGCTGCCAAAGACCAGCAGTCTCTACTGACGTGAACTCGCATTTTTGTCCCTTCCCTCCACTTTATACTTTAACTCAATCCAAATCTCACTGAATGAGCAGGATTCAGTTTTGGTCCATCACTAACATCACATTGAGCTGCTCCTTTCATCCTTTTCATCTTGGAAGACCTTACCTTGGGCTCAATATGCTAGTGCCACTGTCCTCTGTCAGACCAGCCCTGTCCAGCTTAGAACATGGGCAAAACAGATCAGTGCTCCACATATGGAGATGTTCACTTAAAATTTAATGTCCTAATTTTAAATATAAATACAAAAAGCCCAGTAGAGCTAAAGTATACGTGTTCAACCAAGGGCATCCTAGCTGGTCTTTCAAGGCTGACTTCAGTCTTCTCAGGGTCACATGAGCATGTTGCTTCCAGTCTCAGACCCACCACTTAGATCACTTTTAGTCCTTTACTTCTTCCAGTACATAAAAGTGTTTTCTTCCTGTCCCTGTGAGGCTCTTAGATTTGTGCAGTAGTCTGTTGTTTCCTCCCTAGCTGATTACAGCTCCAGGAACTCCCTGAGTGTTGTTATTTATTCTGATGAAGTGTTCTACCTTGGTGGGATGTATTTTGTCTTGATCTCTCTAGAAATAGGAATTTCACTCAACAAATTAAAGCATCTCAGGTTTTGCAGTCATGATTCACACGTGCAGAAGACAGATAATATAATCCTCCTGAGTGTACTGCTAAGTGAACTCTTGTATCCCATTGACATGAATGTGCTGGATCTTGTAGGAGAGCACAGTGTACAAAAGCACATAGCAACTGAAAAAATTAAAATATATATTTCAGTTATGTTGGCAAAATAATGGCAGGGGAAACAGAGTTAAGGAATGTGCCTTAGCTATAAAGTCCTATGGCATAATAGCTGTTGTTTCATTAATATTTACAATGTGGAAAAGCTCTGCAAGATACTCATCAAAAAATGGTCAACTAAATATTGGCTAAAAAACAAGGTAAAAAAAAATTATCTTTACAAGTGGACACCTACAGAATTTTTTTTATTTCTATTCTTTTTTATGTTTTCCTGAAAAGAAACTTTCAGTGGTTGTGCTAATGAGTTAGGGGGAAATTTTGAAACTTGGAAACATGTTTCAAAAGAGTTTTCCTGATATATGTCTACTAGAGTTCCAGTGATATCCTGAGTTATCAATAATATTTCAAGGGTCAAAATTATACATAAACCAAACCAGAAAATGATTTTTCAAACTACATGGACAGGATGACAATAAAACATTCTTTACTTGGAAGAAAAAAAAAAAGGAAGTGTTTTCTAATGGTTTAAACTCTTGCTGTTGTGTGACGTGGTTCAATTTCCTAAATCTAAACCCTTCTCATGGTTTCATTGAGGATATAACCTTTCAACGGGAAATTTTTTGTAGTTCCTTTGTTCTCCTTGGTATGAGAATGTACAAGAACATTTTTGCAAAATGTGGACTTAAATTCAACCTGAATATTGAATGTTTGTATAGTTCCAATCAAGTTCTACAAACAGATTTTTCAGATCATGTCTAAGAAACCTGGTCCTTATAAAAGAGTAAATTACACTAATAAAGCCTTTATATGCAACACATTATTATGTCCAAGCCATTAGATAGTACAGCTATCTCCAGAGAGACTTTGAGCTCTGAAGTGTATGACTGGAGCCAAACCAAAACAGACGCTGCCTGTCTGCGATGCTATCATCATGGCATACTGCCTTCAGCTTAGTCACCAGTAGTGAGGGAAAGTTCTCAGACATTTCTCCTGAGATTAGGAAGGAAGACCTCAGAGCCAAAATAAACAATGGAGGAAATGGTAGGACCAGCCATCCCTAATGTACGTATGAGCCTGTCTTTCCCCTTGTAGTTCCAGACAACTCCTACCCACCACCTTTCCTAGACCAGCAAAAACTCCCCATTCCTGCCCAAACAAGACAGAGAGCAGCTGCATTAGTATTTCAGAGATTACGTGCTAGCAACAGTTCTAACAATCTACATGGTCTGTCTGTAGTACACAAAAAAATTACAGACAGACATAAGGATGCCTTCCAGATATTTTGAGTAGCAGAAAGTTGTCCACAGTGGTTGCTAGCACATTATGCCAGTGGATGTGCACTTTTAGGCATGTAATTTCATGCAAGTAAAGCCTCTAAGATTACTGGAATGGCCAGAGAACTAAGATATAAATAAGAGAATAAAGATATAAATAGTGGCTATTAAGTAATTACTAATTTGGATTTAAATTCATAGAATCATAGAATATCTTGAGTGGGAAGTGATTCAAAAGGATCATCAAATGCAACTCCTATAATATTTCTGCTGGAAAAAGTGGAAAGGAGAACTGGGAAATGTAACTACTTTATTCAACAGAAATTTCCAAATTTCCAAAAAGAATCCTTCAGGCTTTTTGTTTCAAATTATCCTTTAGAGGGAAAAGTTGCCTAACTTTATAGGCAATCTTCTCTCAATAATAAAACTGATTTTTTTTTTCTATTCTGTATAAACTGTATTTAGACTCTAAACTATGAATTTCACTATGTTCTAAGAACACAATTCCTCTAAATCAAAACACCTAACATCCATACCTGGATGCACTGCTCTCCACAAAGGAAACAGAAGTGTATCCCAGATTACAGAGGTTACAGGGGTTTTGTGTCAGTCAGAACACTGTGAGTCTCACCCAGTCCTGCCCTGATCTCCTTTTGTGACGTACAATTTCCGTAACTTTAAGTGCTTAACAACCATTCGTAATTATCTGATATACTATGCAATTTTTTTTCCCTCCATATCACCCATCGAGAGATAGAGCCTCTTTCTTGTACATTTCAGTAAATAATGTATGAAGACTTGATGTTCACTGTTGTTTTTCTCATCATCTCTCTCCTTTCTTGTCTGTTTTGCACTGTAATTCTTAGAGACAACATCAAGTGTACAGTCATAGGATAAAAACATAATAGCAGGCGATTATATGGAAATAAATAAATTACAATATTCAAAGAATGAAACTAATTTCAGGAAAGAAAGCTCTGTGGTTGGCTGTGTTTGGAGTCTGAGTTCAATTTGATTAGCCTAGTAATATGCTGATCTAGAAGATGAGCAGAAATGGGGTAGCTAATGTCTAATATTTTTGCATTCTCCATACATTCCAATTAATGAGATGGAAGATTAACATATACTTACTGAGATTGTGGTTATCCTTTTTTTGTCTCTCCTTTGCCATTGCTCTTGTATCTGCTTCTGACAGAAAGTAACATTTATTAAAATAGTTCTTAAGATGAAATTTCAGTACTTCTTTCACCTTTCCAAAATGGCCTCTTGTCACAAAGACCAGACTTCCAGTCCTTTTACTACATTACTATTATTAAAGCAGATAATAGGCAAATCTATATTCTACCAATACTAAATTTTGCACAAGCTAGCAGGGTGCTTAAGCTCTTTTTATTGCACAATATTTTTTATTTAGGAACATAGAAATATCATGGAGGGGTATTTTTCTCCAATTTGCTGTATTTTACATCAAGATAAACTTACAATACACTAATGTGAATATGGATTTTCTATATCCCATAATGCAAGAGTTAATCAGATTTGTAAGATATTGAACAAACTCACTGTTTCCTCTGAGTGACACTAATAAACTGTACATGATTTTTAGCATTCTTTGGATTAATTGAATGCAACTTTTAAAGTTCTTAATCCACTAATATAGATTTACCTTGAATAGACTTATTGTAAAGTTTTAAAAGAATCATTTGTTCTACCCTAGAACAAATTAAAAGGATGATAATTTATTTATACTCTGGGTCAGGAGCCAACATGTGGAAGAATATACTATGTTTTCTAAATATTAAGGTTTATTAGAAGTATAATGTTCATAAAAAAAACAGAAGAAAAACCTGGTTTCTGAGCTTCTAAACACAAGAACAGAAAGAAAACATTTCTTCTTGCTCTTTGTTCTTTCTCTTAAACAAAACTACAAAGTGCAAAATTCTCAGGAATTTAATTATGGATATCTTTTTCATGGGTAAGATTTATGCAACTTTTAAGAGACACACTATCACTTTTGCAATTATAAAATACTAAAATCACAGAGTTCTTTTACCTGTGAGTTCCCTTTTTACTGGTAGATTAGCTGGGCAAGAAGCATTTGTGAGACTCATATTGGCTGGTGCCATTCCCTGGTCACTGTTATATATATCCAAAATGCTGCTAGATAGCTTGAGGAGTATAGAAGGAAAGAAGAATAAGAAAAATAAGATAATATTAAAATAAGTTAAAGACTTAAAAGATTAAAAAAAAACCCACATAAATTCAAGGAGCAAACATCTTTGGATGTGAGTCTGGTGCTCTATAGAAGGAGATGTATATATGTGTCTAAAGAGAAAGTTTACCATTCTGTGGTATTAAGTATAAATTATATACCATTCTGTGGTATAAAATTGAAAGCAAAGGATCACAGCCTGCCACTGATCCACAAGCAGCTTTCTAGGTGTTGTGAGTGGGTTTCAGATGCAAAGTGATGGCAAGATATAGGCTCCCATCTCTGCTTTTCAATTGTTTCTATACTATATTCTCTAAAACCATGACTGCATTTCAAACATGAATTAGGTTGAAAGTCAAAATCACCTTGCTGATTTTGACATACTCCTCAGTGATTTTTCACCACATCACTAAACTCTGAATTAGTACTTCATACTGTGCCTGGTTTAGCAGTATAAAGACTCAGGGACCCAGTTATATGCAATAGTTAAAATTAGAGTAGACAGAACATCGAAGAATATGCTTTAAGGAAAGAAACTGTGCTGTTGTCAGGATAGGCCAGATAACCTGATGGTTTTAACATGCATAACATACTCAACCACGTATACCAGTATCCTTATTACCTTCAAAATTTTAATATAACATTATTTAATAAACCCATAGAATGCACCCAAAGAGAAGTAAGGCTAAAGTATGTTTCTACGGATTTCAGATAATTACATAAATATTACCTTTACTTGAATATTTTTACATATATATAATAACTGTAAAATATGTAAAAGTTTAGTAAAGAACAGCTCAGGCTTTGCTCAGTTTCAATGACCCTATAATTAAGTTTTCAGCATTGATCATTATCTTATATATCTTATTATTTCTGTAAGTTCTTGTGAAAACAACTATATGAAAACATCCAAGTCCAGATTCACAAAAAATTGATTTGTATTCTTCTTGTCTTCTATGACAATTTTATTTTATCATGCATATAAAATTTGTGATGATATATTTGTTTTCTTTTGTGGCCAACACACGTGGACTCAGAAATTGAATTTAGGTCCAGCTGGCCAAGACAACAGGAAAAAAAAGAAAAAGGATTAAAAAGTGGGTGAAAAAAGTGGGTGAAAAAATGTGGGTAAAACTACTGACTTTAGACAGAAAGGCGTGAAAGGAAATTATGAGCTAGTAAAGGAAATAGTTTTTCATAGACAAGCAAACGTTGTTAAAGATATGCCCTACAGCCATGGATCCTGAAACACACCGGAATTTTCCAGGTAGGACACCAAGACACCAAACATAATTATATTGGTAATTAGCTTATTTTATACTGATAATTTATTTTTTTGTAGAGACTGTGAGCTTCACCACAAGTTATTTTGAATGGAGACAATTTCCCAGTTACTTAGTGTGAAATTGTTCTACAGCAGTTCTGCCTGTATTTTTATATTAAATCTGAAATTTTAAATGTTTTAATTTTAAATACTGATTTTATTAAATTAACTAATAACTTTACTAGACCATCTGAGATCCTAGTTTAAATTCCCCCAGTTCTATTTCATACAATTAAATGAAGCAATCAGAATTCTTTTTGAATGTACATAAATAGCATGCTATTTTTAAGTAGATGTTTATTACTTAAGAAAACTGATAATTCTTGAATACCATTAAAAATCACAACACTAAGTCAGTTTTAAAAATCTGCTTACATATTTGACCTCTCAATGAAAATATTTTTTAAAAGAATGTTTGGAATTCAGATGAGTATTACTCAAGAACAAGCAATGTGCAATAGGTAGGATTTGAATGCTAAGAGTATTCACACATTAAGCACCTTTGTTTCATTCCAGAGGGGTAAACTGACAAGTATTACAGAATTCACTGCAGCTTTACCTTTGCATTTCCTTTGTTCCAGTGATAGGATATTAGCTCTAGACACATATTTAGTTACTTCCTACAGTCATGTAAATGAATTTGGCTTATTGAAATGATATGAAAACAGAATGACATAAAAAACTGAGAGTCAATGTGACCACTACACTCATTCCAGTGGACTTCCAATAGGGTTGTTATATGACTTAGGCTACTGTTTTTGTGAAATACTAGGAAATAGTAACCCCTGAAAATAATATAACCTAATAAATAATCTAACAAATAAGAAATGCATATCTATCGTATTTTGCATATTTCATTTCTAATTTTCAAACTATAGTTCACATTTATCCTTGAAAGATAGTTAAATCTCAACAGTCTGTTCACAAAGGTGTGAATTTAAATGACAATGTCCAAATCCAAGACAAAAGGTCATGAAAGGCCTACTTAACTGTTAATGAAAAAAAAACAAAACCAACACACCTGAAAGTTCAGAATTATGTGAGCATTCAAAAGAACATGAGTAAATTCAACCTAAAACCACAGGTAGACATTTCAGATAAATTTGATTACACAGTTGATGAAAGCAATTGCATGTAACTGCTGCCATTGTCTGAAGTGATAACAGTTCATATACCCTCTTCCATCAGCAAAACCACTGGGGCAGGGGCTGCAACTAGAAATTAATTGTAAAAGACAATTAAAAGTGTTTCTATAGATATATCAGCAACAAAAGGAGGGTTAAGGAGAATTTCCATGGTTTATTGGAAGTGGGTGGAAACACAGTGACAAAGGATGAGGAAAAGACTGAGGTGCTTAATGCCTTTTTTGCCTCAGCTGGAAGACAGAGAGCAAAACGAAGACCTCATAATCCAAGGAAAATGGTTATACCACTTAGACACACACAGATTTATGAGGCCGGATGAGATGCACCCAAAGGCACTGAGGGAGCTGGCAGAAGAGCTCACTGAGCTGCTTTCAATCATTTATCAGCAGTCCTGACTAACTGAGGAGGTGCCAGTTGACTGTAGGCTAGCAAATGTGACACGCATCTACAAGAAGGGCCAGAAGGAGGATGGAGGAACTACAGGCCTATCATCCTGACCTAAGTGACAGGAAATGCTATAGAAAGTTAGTGCCAATTGCACTATCAACTGCCTCTTTCTTTTGCAAATTTAGTAGAAATCAAGTATATTGTAGTGGACACTATGAAGGATAAGTGGATTTGTGGATAGGGCCACTGTATCCCTTTGATACAGTCTTCATTCACAGTTAGCCAGCATGAAAAATGTGCTATCTAGTTGTTTGGATGTGCACTAAAACTCATACACCATAATGCAATTTATTTCTTACAGTGTCATTTAAATGGGGAAAGTTTTTGTAGTATTGAGGCTTCAAATAGCTTCCAGTCTCACATTACAGGATATATCTATATCTATCTATCTATCTATCTGTATATATGTGTACATAATCTCACAAAGATCCAACACAATCTTACTACAAGTACAAATCATTTGCAATGGCACAATTATATGATATGTGTACAGTGAAGGTCTTACAATAAATTCTATAGCACTGTCAAAACTGATGAATCCCAAAACACTTTAAAATTCCAGCTGATTCTACTGCATCAAAAGCATGTTCTTGCTTTCAGTTTAGAGATGTGAAAACAGACATTTGGGTATGAAAATTCATAAGTCCCAGGAAATTACCCCGCAGGTGTCATAACCTGTATTGATTCACACCTGTGTTGTTTTGAGAAGTCCTGGTAAGTCACATAATTTCCAAACTTTGAATTCATGATACATATATTTATGTATATGGATCTGAGAATTTAGATGCTAGCAGCTTGTAAGGGATGAGTAGACAAATATTAAAAATAACAGAATATAATAAGGCATCTTTCCTACTTCTAAAATACAGCCAGCTTTGGAGAAAAGATCAACTACCTTTAGCACAGAAAATGGTCAAGTGGGAATAACCAGTTACAATGTGGTATAGGAAGAGAATAATACCATATCTAATTAAAACTGCAAGGAGAATTAAAGACTGTAATTAACAAAGTTAGCATTTGGCAAGGACACTGGGGTTAACATTCTTCCTTTTGTATAAAGTGTCATGGGATCTTCAATTCCTGTGTGCAAAGACTGGAACATGAGAATTTCCATTTATGGGGCTCAGTCCTGAAAGATGCTCAATTTTGAAGCTTAGACCAATTATAAAAGCAAACTTCAGCTGCAGTACCTGAGTGAGTACACCTCACAAGAGCCTGTGACCTTGTGCTTGCTGGCAGTGTTCAAGGCAAGTACTATGAAGGTCTAGTTGAAAGAAGGTTGTTACGTTCATACTTGGGTCTGAACTGCTATGCAGGCAGGAAAGTGTAGCAAATACTAAGGGTTTGTTAGTATGGATAATTGCCAATGGACAATTGTGATCACAGTATGCAGTCTCTAATACCAAGTTTTGGGGTTTTTTCTTTGAAGGAAACCATTACTAAGATATGAAACATACTACCTTATTAAGGTAAATAATGTAGTATTCCAAATCCCATAGCATGATAGCTGTTGGTAAACATCATGTTATTTCCAGGAAGATTTAAGCCATTTCCATACCTTCCAAGAGAAGGATTCTTAATGTGATGATAAGACCTATGGATACAAGTTGTCTGTGCCTGTTCATCTGTAGCCCCTAGAGCTCTATGTTTCAACAGTGTTCACTTGCATGATCACATATTATTTAAGTATTTTTCCATTTTGGCTAATCTTTATATGATGTGTTTGCCTCACGCTAACATTCAAGTCTGTAAGGATCATAGCTCTATCAGAATCAGTGTGGCACAGATAGAGAATATCAGTCCAACCCTTTTCCAAAGTCAGTTAGACTTTTCTTAATTTAAAAATTCTGTTGAATGTGGTAATGCCCAGTCTGGACTAGAAAACATTTCATGGATATTGGGTTCATTTAATGTGTTATCACATAATCTATTTCATAAGACAATAATATTCTAAGATCAATTAGGTTTTACATCTCAAATATTTTTAATTTGAGTATGTTACAAAAGTTGAATGATTGGAAGCTATTGTCAGAAAGCTTT